CACTATTAATCCCAGCACTCAGGAAGCAGAGACAGGCAAACATCTGTGAGTTTCAGGCAAGCCAAGGTTACATAAGGAGACCCTGTCTCAAAAAACATTTCTTGAATTAAAATTAGTTTTAAGTTTTCCTTTGCTGGTATGATACGGTTTCATACTATAAAGCATTTTTCACCTTTTCCTCTTATTTTGATTCAGGCTATTTTTATAATTTGTAGATGCTAACTGTATGTAGTTGTTAACTGGGTTGTCATTTTTTAAAGATAATTAAATCAATATAATTCAATGAAAGTCTCTTTATTTCAAAGGAGCCTAGTGCATTATGTCCCAGCAACAGCTTCATGCACCTAGAGTGACTTCAGATGTTTATGTTTCAAACAGTGCCACACAGTTTAATGTCTTGAGAATGCAGTAATCATGGGTAATCCCATTTGTTTTATTAATTTGAAAATAAACTAACATTCATCAGGGGCTTCCCATGCCCTGTATATGTGTATCCCTATTTCAAAATGTTTATAGTAGGGGCTGGCAATGTAATTTGGTGGAAAAGTGTTTACCTGGCATATTTGTATTTTCCTTTTCTATGCTAAACTTGGGGAAATAAGATTTATATGTTATATTAATTTACTCAAGATCTGCAAACCGCTGGGCGATGGTGGTACATGCCTTTAATCCCAGCACTCAGGAGGCAGAGGCAGGCGGATCTCTGTGAGTTCAAGACCAGCCTGGTCTACAAGAGCTAGTTCCAGGACAGCCTCCAAAGCCACAGAGAAACCCTGTCTGGAAAAAGAAAAGAAAAGAAAAATCTGCAAACCAAAGCTTGCTTTTCTCCTGGTGGCCTATGGTAGAGATCAGCATGGCACTCCACCTACAAAAAGGAGTTAAATGAAATGGGTCTCAGGCATTCAACAGCGCTTACTCCAGGAATCAACATCCCTGGGTCTGTTCAGTAAGCTGGGTGTGGTGGCCCAAACCTCTAATCCTCACTGTCTAATTCTGGGGGCCAGTGTGGGCTCATGAAACCCTGTCTCAAAACACAAACAGCAGAAATGTATTTCTTGTTCTTTACATAAGGAAATGATACAGGATGGAATGGGATGTTCTAAAGAAAGGGAAATCTGGTATTCCCTCCTCAAAATATTGGTCAGCACTGAGTGTGTGTGTGTGTGTGTGTGTGTGTGTGTGTGTGTGTGTGTATGCATGTGTGTATGCATGTGTCTATGTGTGTGGTGTGTGTGTGTGTGTGTGTGTGTGTGTGTGTGTGTGTGTGTGGCGTGTATGTATGGTGTGTGTGCATGTGTGTATGCGTGTGTCTATGTGTGTGTATGTTTGTGGTGTGTGTGTATGTTTGTGTATGTGTGGTGTGTGTATGTGTGTGTGCATATGTGTGGTATGTGTGGTGTGTGTGTGTGTGTGTTTGTGTATGTGTGGTGTGTGTGCATGTGTGTGTGTTTGTGTGTGTGGTGTGTTTATGAGTGTGTGTTTGTGTTGTACATAAAAGTATGTAAAAAGAGAAACTTTTTTTTTTTTTTTGGCAGGTGTCCTTGTAGACCTGGGTCTGGAGGAAAATGGGATGGCTCATCAGAGAGCAGAGAAATATGTTGTTCGCCTGGACAATGACATTCAAAGCAAGTTTGAAGTTTTTATGAGAAGGGTGAAACAGAATCCGTACACACTGTTTGTACTAGTTCATGACAACTCCCATGTGGAGCTAACGAGGTGATTGCTTCTGTGTGAGCAGACCCAGTGTCTCGTCCAAAGCAGTAATTGGTACCTAAAGAAACCCTTTAAAGGCATGCTGTGAAAGCCCAGGGACCCTCACATTTGGTGTCTTCCCATTGGTAACTTCCTCCTAATCATTCCTCGACCCCTCAAGTCTTTGGTCCAATTTACATTGATTTTCCTTTTTTTGTCATGATTGATTTGTTTTATGCATGTCCATTCATGTAGCACTCATGCACTCTTAGAAGTCAGAGGACAACTTGTGGGAATCAGTTCTCTCTTCCACCATGTTAGTTCCAGGAAGTCAACACACACACACACAACACACACACACACACACACACACACACACACACACACAAGAAAATGAAAAGAAAACTAGAATAAAATGTGTGTTTAGGAGTTTGCATGATAACCTGGCATACCCAAACTGAACAGGACTAAGAAAACTCTAGAGGCATGACTCTCTGGGTTGTGGGGTTGGGGAGGCCTCCCAGCCCTCCTCCCAGTCCTCCTCTCAACCCTCCCAGGCGAGAAGCTGAGGAGGGAAGGAGGCTATAGTGGGTGAAGGTCATTTCAGGGCTAGAAGCTTTCACAGTAAAACAATCCACCTCAACACAGTTGAGCTACTGTGGGCTGTGTGACTGAGTTTGCACTCAGAATAGCTTAGGAACATACTGAAAAGCCAGGAATGGGGGAGTCCCCAAAAATCTGTCTGTAAGGGGTAAGGAAGAATAAATTTTTATCTTTTAAATCATATTTGTTTTATGAGGCAATATCTCATTATATAGCTCATGGTGGCCTTGAATTACCAATCCTCCTGCCTCAGCTTTTCCTGTGTTTTCTGACTATGGGTGTGTATCACCACACTCAACTCTCAGATCCCATTCTGATTGTATCATATCTACTCCTCCATGCTGCCGCCTGCTCCTGCATCCAGTCAGCTGGGTAAGAAGGCACTAACACGACTCTTGCTATCTCTGCAGTGTGGTGTCAGGCTCTCTGTCACATGGTGAGCCAACTCACGGATTAGCTGATCGAGTCATTAACTGCAGAGAAGTTCTCGAAGCTTTCAACCTCCTGGTGCTCCAGGTGAGCTCCTTCCCCTACACACTGCAGACCCAGCAGTCTCGGATCAGCCCCAGCAATGAGGTCCACTGGGTACAACCAGACACAACGGTGAGTCTTCCATGCATGGCCATTCGCAGTTCCCCATGAGGTGGAACCTGGGACTAAACATGGCCATGACTTGGCAAAAATACAGCACAAATATGTCAAGACGTCTAATTAACACAATGCTGCATTTTTCATGTGATCACAATTTTTTGGGAATGGGATCTTGCTATTTTGCCCTGTATGGCCCTGATTTCCTAGCCTTCCTATTCTTCTGAGTGCTGGTACTATACCTTCATGTGCTAATTGCAGTTCTACAACACTAGACAGCTGCTGAATTGTGTCCTACAGAAATTCATTGCGTGCGGGCTAGTCTTTAGGTCTGTATGCATGTTGTAGATACAAAATTAATCATACTATATAGATGTAGTATCCAGATGTGGTGATGTGGCCCTGTCACCCCAGTTCTTGAGATTCTGAAGCAGAAGGTCTGCAAGTTCAAAGCCAGCCTGGGTAGTATACAGAGTGATGCCCTATTTCCAAACAAACAAAGAAGTAATATTACACCAGAGCATCATTAAAATCCTGAATTACCTGTGTGAATTTAAACGTTTAATTTCAAAGTACAGGGGTGGTAGCCCATCAATAAAGCCCCTGCCTAGCAAGTATGAGGTACACAATTCAATCTTCATACTGAAGAAGACAAACTAAGACTGATTTTACACTGAGACCTGAACACTTTGGTTTTTTGTTTTGTTTTGTTTGTTTGTTTGTTTGTTTGTTTTGTTTTTTTAAGACAGGGTTTCTCTGTGTAGCTTTGGAGCCTATCCTGGCACTCGCTCTGGAGACCAGGCTGGCCTCGAAGTCACAGACATCTGCCTGCCTCTGCCTCCCAAGCCCAGCTCACTTCGTTGTTTTCTTGAGTAGATTAATAAATGGTCAGCCTGATATATGTCTCCAATAATTACCCTCCCCCTCCAACAACTGGATTTTCCATTTCAGTGGGTTCTTAGTCTTCGGGTTGACACTAGAGTGACCATGCTGGTACCTTCAGTAGGACTGACTGTTGGGAGTAAATCCTCTCAACACTGCACATATCAGATGGTCCTTTATGATTTGGGCTCTAGTCCCTAATAGCTGAAAATATTTTCTCCAGCCTATAAGCTGTATGACAAATATAGTATGAAAGAAATAAGTTTCATTAAAAAATAATAAACCTTAGCCAGTGTGTTGTGGATCCCTTGTGTAAAGGTATTGAATGCTTTGGGTCAGAAACTCCAGATATGTCTTTTACATGAAAATCTACTTGTGAGCCCTGTGCATCTCACTGCTATGAAGCAGAGATGTTGGTTGGGACCTCAAGCCTTCAGCAATTCCCTCAGTGTGACACCACTCATACCCTGTTCATGTAGCAGAGACTATTCCAGGTTGTGGCTTTACTGGGATCCTTTCAGTGCCAACTACACCCATTCATTGACTTGTGAAATTAGGATTGGGTAGCATTTTCTCCCTTTGAAGCACAGACTGAGCCTGTGGACTCCTTGCCAGTTTGGATTGCCAGTAGAACAGATTAAGGGAGAATTATTTTTTGAAACTAGTGAGACTGTGTGATCCTAGTGGCCCTGCAGTCTCACTGGTGCGTAGAGGGATGGAAGTCAGTGCATTAAAGGCTCCTCCTGCACTTGTGTGTTTACTACAGCACTGCTCACAGAAAGCAACATGGAATCAACACAACTGTCTGTCAGTTAATCAGCAGATCGTGCATGTATACAAATGGATGGGACTAGAGAGCATTAGAGGAGCTGGGATCATCAGGCACAGAAAGCAAAAATGCGTCTAGAAGCTAGAAAGAGGGTCTCCGAGAAACAGAGTAGAATGGTGCTCACCGGGGTCTGAAAGATGGGTGCTGGGAAGCTAGAGAGAGGGTGACTAAGAGATACAGGTGCAGAAGACACACAAGAGGAAGAGCCACCCTGTGGGTGAGAGACCCACCACTGGAAATAATCAAGTGAATGTTTCAAACCCCTACTCCCATTGTATCATTTACATTACATACACCTACTGAAATGTCACCTGAATGCCACAAATGTGCACAATTACTGTATGTCAGTTAAAGACAAAAATTTTTGATACCTTTTTTTTTTTTTGCTCTAAAAAGTTAGTTCTATTATATGTGTCCCTTCATTATGTTGTTTGGCCGCAGTGAACTCATATCTCATTTGGCCAATCTTGTGTAGAAGGAATCACCCCATGATAGGGAAGAAGGCTTGTTTCTCCAAATACAAAATGGGCTTAACGTGATTTTCTGTGACTCATCCCTGTGGTTATGGTGAACGTTTTAGGTGTAATAGTGGTGTTGGGGTCATATTTTTAAAAAGAATAGTTGGTGATATCTACTAACGAACTTGCAGATTAAACATGTGATTCTGGGGTTTGTTCAAAATAACTGGGGAGGGGGAGTTGTTATACTCTTTTACAAATAAAAGTTTAAAAACCCAGACTATGGAGATGGCTTCACAGGCCTGACAACCTGAGTGTGCCCCCTGGGCCACACAAGTGTTTTCCAAACAAGGGAGCCAACTGCATGTAGTCATGTATCACTTTCACAAGTACACCTTAGCATGTACACATTAACAACACACCATGCACACAACCACAGGACAATAATAAAGTGTTTAAATGTAAGTTTTAAAAGATTATCCTTGTATTCAGACATGATAATTATAGATATAACATGATAATAAAAGACATGTCACACATGCCTTTGTCCAGCTACTTGGAGAACTGAGGCAGAAGGATTACTTGAGCCCAGATTCCACCTCTAAAAAATAATACATTTTGGGGGTTTTTGTTTGTTTGTTTTTTGTTTTTTGAGACAGGGTTTCTCTGTGTATCTCTGGCTGTCCTAGAACTGGCCAGGCTTAGAACTCAGAGATCTGCCTGCCTCTGCTTCCCGAGTGCTGGGATTAAAGGTGTGTGCCACCAAGTGCCTGGAAAAAGAATAATTTTTAAATAAATCATCCCTAAGGAACTGAGGTCAACAGAGAAAAAGAAAAATGTTGTATTTATCTGCATGTGTCACACTGAGTCCCCCTAGCAACATGTAGGAGAAAGAGCCTCACAATTCACTTCCTTTGACTATTCAGACACCCATGTCTATTGGGGGAAGAAAGGAATGTAATAAAGTGCCTCAATTCAAAAACCATTGTCAGCACTTGTAGGTCTGTGCCCAACTTTCATAGAACACCCAAAGGACTAGCAGTTGCAAGAGAAAGGAAAGCACCTATAAGGATTAAACTCAGGTTACTTAGTGGAAGTGCCTTTGCCTGCTGAGCCACCTCAATCCTGGTTGTCATTCCCCAAACCAACCAGCACCAGGGCTGAGAAGGAAAGTGGAGAACTTAGTACACACAGTAGGGCTCTTCTGCATAACTGTGTGCTGCAGTCCAGATGAAAATGGAAGAGGAAATGGGTGGGGGTTTTTCTTCCATAGTGACCAGTATAACACACAAGTCTGCTGAAAAAGAATAGAGTACATCTTTGCAACTCTCAAAGAAGACCTGCGCCAGCAAGCAGGGTTTTCTTGTTTGAAGGAGGGAACTAAAAATGAAAAACTTCCTAATAATAGTGTCTTATATTGTTAAAGATCTTTAAAGTTTCTGTTTATATGTATGTGTGTGTTAGTATGTACACATGCATGTGGGTGCACACGAGGCCAGAAGAGGGCATCAGAGACCATGGAGCTTCCGTTACAGGCAGTTGTGAGCCACCATATGGGTGTAGGAACTGAACTCTAGTCCTGTGCAAGAGCAACGAGCACTCCTAGCCATTGAGCCATCTCACGAGCTACCCCTATATTTATTTTATAGACTCTAAAAATCACAAACTTGTATAAGATGGTTATTGAATGGCTCTGGGGCTGGGGATATAGTTCAGTTGGGACAATGCTTGCTTAGCACACATGAAGCCCTGAGTTTGAAGCCCATCACTACATAGAGCCAGGCATGGTGACACATACCTGTGGTGCCAGCACTTGTGAGATGGAGGCAGGAGGATCAGAAATTCAAGATCATCTTCAGCTACATATCAAGTTCAAGGCCAGCCATGGCTACATGAAGTATTGTCTCAAAAAGAAAAGAAAAGTTGAGTATTGTAGCCACTTCCAACAAATTATGCATAAATTTCTGGCATGCATTTCCAGAGTTACTAACTTTATACCTAGTCCATTCTTATTTCTACTACCCTCATCTTCTGCCTCTAATTTATTTTCATGTTAGTATAATTCTAGTATCAGCCTTGTTTTTCTTCATAAACAAACAGATAAAGCCAAATCTATAAAGTCACAAACTTGCTTAACATTCTGGCCCCTCTTAGATGGCTACAGCAGCATACGGAACATCTCAGTATCCTCTGAGGGCATCCTATGTCATATCCCCAAATAGTTACTTGTTTGTACAGTGATGACTGAGTCAGGCAGTAGGGGGAAGGACTGGTGCTGTGTGTTCTGTCTAATGAGGTAGGATGTTCGTATTGTGTTGTATTTTTGTACTCCACTTGAAAATTAATTTTTATTTGTAAAAGGAGTTAAGTGTTTGCAATGTACAAGTTTTTTAGTTTCTTTCCAAACTCGATGGATACATTCATTAGAAAAGACAGCTGCTTCCAACAGGAAAAGAAGACATCTGGCCTGTGAATCTAAACCAAAGAAAAAGAAAGCATACCTGGTGTAGTTCCCATTGGCCTAAAGGCAACATGTCAACATGCCACTAAGTTCCATGGAAATCCAAAATCGGTGTCAAGTTTCACAACAAGGTTTTCTTTTATCTCCACCAATAACCAATATCTCTACACACACACACACACACACACACACACACGCACCCTGTCTTCATTGGGGTTCTACTTTGTTTTCAATCAGGAGGAAATGGGCTTCGAGAAGCTGTACTTTGGCTTGAATGAGTACAGCAAGTCCCTGCAGTGGGGGATCACCAGCCCACTCCTGAGATGCGATGAGACGTTCGAGAAGATGGTGAGCACGCTCCTGGAGAGGTAAGAAAAGACAGCTGCCCCTTGCTATATGCCAAGCGAAGTCAAAAGCCTGTTTGGCCATGTCTCAGTGAGTTTGATGGTACTTGTACAAAAGACATGGAAAGGCCAAATATAAAGGTCTTTCTCGGGGTGACTTTCTACTACCACAGGTTTATATGACCTTCCAAGAAGAACAAATGCAAAGTGGCGTAAGTGGGAGACCGAGTACCCCCTTTCACAATTGTCTCCTTGCCGACTTCATTGCAGAGGGACATCTGTATGTTAAAGGCCACTCCTGAGCCCTGGCCAGTCTCTTGACATTAAGCCCCCAGCTTTGTCCCTGTTTTTTGGCCACTGCAGACAAGTATCGCTGGGCAGCTCCTTCAGAGCAAAGGCTTTCTTTGAACACTGTGGCTGTACACTGAAGTGTTCGAGCATCTTCTATCCTGGGAATCCACCCTCAGGTCCTGACCTTCAAGGCTGAGGTCTTAATTCTTCTGTTTTAGGGATTACTCTTCCTGCCTAGCCAGCCTTCCTTTTATTCCTCTGTTCCAAGTCAAACTCTGAAAGACTGGACTTTTGGTTTTCTCGAAACCTGATTCATAGATTCAAAGAGAGGAACCTCCCTTCCTGCCCTGCCCTGCCCTGCCCTGCCCTGCCCCTCCCAATCTCTGGTGATACAACGCTCGCCACTAGGGGGTGCTCTTTCTCCAGCTAGCTCCTATTTTCCCGGGCACCAACTCATTTTTGGGGAAAGATGTATTTCTGCTACCCATACAGATGACCTCAAATTAGCAATAATTCGTGTGTTGATATATTTTTTGCTAGCTGTTTTGTTGTTGTAACAGCATCCCATTATATAGCCCAGGCTGGCCTGGAATTTGCTATGTAGTCCAGATTGGACTTCAATTTTCTATCTTCCTGCCTCTGACTCACATGTGCTGGGTTACAGGCGTGCTCTACCACTCCAGCTACAGTTATCCTTTTTCTAATGCCTGATACACCAAGAATAATGACAGCAGTGTCTGTTTCCTTAATGATGTCTGAGAACCGAGTTGGCAATGCTGTCAGGTAGAATCATGAGTTAAGATCTGGGGATTGGGACTCGTTCACAATTAACCCGCACCCACCAGCGTGTCTCGGTATTTCATGAGCCCAATTGCCATGGGGGAGGGAGCTGTTCAGCTGCAGGGCTTGCTTCCATAAGTCTGGCGTGGGCGGTCTGGCAATTCTAACTTCCGGTGCTAGTCCACTTTGAGAAGGCAGAGCCTCTGGGTCAGCCCCCGAATTCTAATTTACTCCATTTGTCCCAAGAGGTTACACCTGCTTTGGAGGTGCAACCACTTCTAGTAATGCGAGATCCAAGGCTATTCGGCTCTGTAGACCCTTCCTGCAGCGTTCATTCTGCATTTTACTGCGCACACCTTGCTGTTCCAGCCCGCTGAGCGCTAGCTTCCTGTGTTCTGTCGTAGGTACCCCAGGCTGCATAGCATGGTCGTACGTTGCTATCTTCTCATCCAGCAGTACTCAGAGGCCCTGATGGCTCTCACCACCATGGCGTCACTCCGAGAACACAGCACACCAGAAACGCTCAGCATCATGGATGACCTTCTCAGCTGCCCAGGAAAAAACAAAAGTGGGAAAGGACACATGCTCATCGTCAGAGTGCCCTCCGTGCAGCTGGCGATGCTGGCCAAGGAGCGGCTGCAGGAGGTGCGAGACAAGCTCGGCCTGCAGTATCGCTTTGAGATCATCCTGGGGAGCCCGGCCTCTGAACTCCATGTTGCAACTCACTTTGTGGCACGATTAAAGGTTAGCGAAGGACAGACATGCCGTTTGTTTCTGTTTTCTAGGGCTCTTGGATAAGTGGACCACCCAGATAACTGAGTTGCGTACGCTTTCACACATGTGTGAGTGTGACCTCCCTGACCAGGCTAAGGTTAAAACTAAAGAACGCACTTGCTTTTCTTAATTGAAATCAGTTCTAATGATCCCATCAAATCCCTCTTCCTACGTACATACAGTTGGTCTCCATGCTCTTCAAGTGCAAAAAAATGAGATGACCCAGTTTGCCCGCATGTTTCTCGACCTTGCTCGAGATGCATCTGGCCCACTGCCTTCTGTTTTCTCAGGGAAAGGGGAACGGTTCCCTCTAGCATTGCCTCACCGATTCTCTTCTGTGCATCTAGCCTATATGTCAGCTGGTGGCTGGTCTCTAGTGTTGCATCTGAGAAGTCATCTAGAGCAACTTCCAGCCCCCTGGCATATGGATTTCCTGCTTGCTTCTTTGTATTCTCTGTCCCTCAGCGCCGCTGTCCTGCAGAGGAAGGTAGTACATGATCCAGCCCCTTGCTACTCCTGTGTAGCCAAGTACTGACTGCCTGTCAGTATGCCTGGTCCAGGCTTCCCTGAGAACTTTTATAATTTTACTTGTCTTGGCCATTAGAAAGCGTTTAGTCAAATGCTCACGTTTGCATTGATGTGGGGCTGAGCTAGCGACTGTATGTCTGAGTTAGACTAACATAATGTCCCCACTGCCCATTAAATCCCGAGCTAAAGTGGGTTATGAATGACCTCGTTTGGCACACACTGGCTGAAATGAAAGCACGTGGTCTTGAAGGGTTTGAACCACATGATTTCCTCAAGCTCCAACTTGGAGATTTCTACTTGCTATTCATAAGTAACTTTGCAAATGTTAGATTTCCTGTTGCATTATCTAACCTAAACAGAATAACCCAAAATCCTTGATAAGCAACTAGAACAAATAAGAGTACCCCAAACATCTGGGCATTGGTGGTGCACGCCTTTAATCCCCAGCACTAGGGAGGCAGAGGCAAGTAGATCTCTGTGAGTTCCAGGTCAGCCTGGTCTACAGAGTGAGTGCCAGGACCGGCTCCAAAGCTACACAGAGAAACCCTGTTTCAGAAAAAAAAAAAAAAAATTATCCCAAACAGAAACTCATACTCAATAGCCATTATAACATCTCTATTTCAGCTGTAGATGTAGGTTCACAACTTCTGGAAAGTGGATTTTCAAAGGTCAGATCTTTGCACTAGAGAAGTTTCTCCCAGTGTGTTGGGGGAGTGGAATCACCCATGCCTAGCATGAGGATGAGGCTGGCTCTTGGTGTTGTTTCTATGCAACTGCCATTTCTCACAGGAGGGTTGGGAGAGAGAATGAAGCCTGAGTGGTGTTCTATTTGTCACTGAAGTGGTCAGCTGGCCTTCATACCTGGACTTTCTTTTGTTCTTAATTATTTATTTTTTACATTCCAATACTAGTTCCCCTCCTTCCTTTCCTCCCGCTCCTCCCACTCCCCCCCCCGCATCTGCTCCCGGAGAAGGTAAGGACTCACCTAGGAAGTCTACTAAACCTGTCCCATCAACTCATTGAGGCAGGACCAAGGCACCTCCCCATCCCACATCCCTGTATCTAGGCCGGGCAAGGTATCTCTCCGTATAGAATGAGCTCATACCTGGACTTTTCTTTTGAGTAGATATGTCATTAAGGTTTGTGTGAGGGAGAAAAATAAGGTTATAGTCAGAGGCCACCCACTTTATAGAAAATTCCTCTGGTGAATCACAGTGCTCCTCAAGCCATCCTCGTGGTGCTGCTACTGAGACATATGGCTTTATGCATTTTGAAAACACTAAAGAACAAGAAGCAACAGACATGCAGCAGCACTCTGGGGTTATCACACACCTGTGGTCGAGCTAGGACTACAGGGTGTCCTTGGGTCAGCCCCAATTCTCCTTATCTAGCTCCTGACAGTCTTGGGCCGTTTGTTTGGGTCAGTATATATCAGTGGGTTATAAAAAAATCTGCCCCTCCGGGCCACTGTTTGAAAAACACCGACCGACAGTGTTCCTCGACCATCTCTGAACGCTAGCTGTGTGTGCATCCCAGGTGAGGGACACTGTTCTGAGAGTGTGCCATATGTATGTGAACGGCTTCCTAAGTGCTGTAGTCCCCACAGCAGGCAGCATCTCCTTCTGATTTATCTGAGTAGCTGCTAGCTAGACACATAAGCGAGTCCCAGATGCTTGGAACCTCTGTTCTAAGCTCTGTTCTAAGTCTCTCCTTTCTTGTACCATCAGTGTGAGGGTGAAAATGTGAACTCCTCTGAAATGCTCATATCTAAGCAAGACTCTCTCACCAGCTGGATGCCCCTAAGTTCTTTACCATTCTCAGAAGACAGGCGTGCCTATTGGATAAAATGAAACACTACTCCCGCTATATGACCTTGTGCATGATGGTTAATTGATAAGAGATGGCAAGCATTAAAATTTTAGCCTTGGACAGATTAAAATCTGAACCTTAAATAAATCAATCCATTTGCCCAACAAGTGTGTGAAGCCTGTTATGATAAAGCTTGAGGAACCATGGCGGATGCCATGGCAGGTGAGGGTGACCGAGGGAGAGGGACAAACATGCCAGGCAGACAGAGCTTAGTGGGAAGTTTTATTAGAAAGAAAGGAGGGGGGAGAAGCGGTAAAGAGACACAGAGGCAGAGAGGAGACGGAAGAGAAGAGGGACACAGGAAAAGTCCTGTCTGTCCCAGGGGAACAGAAGGAAATGGAGAGGGAAAAAATCGGGAAAGAGATCGTAAGTGGGTGGGGTCTTTCTTTTAAAGGGGCCCTTTGCACCTCTGTGCAGACTACACACACAGTCATGGAATCCTGGGCTGACCACGGTACTGCCTGAGTGCATTCTGCCAGGTGACAGGGGCAGGCCAGCATAATGCCGGAATCCTTACAAAGTCTCTAGATAAATACCTTGGTAGTGAGCCCAGTATTGAACTGAAACTAAGTTCTTGTCCAGTCTTTTGTGTTGGCTTAAGTGTCTCCAGGAAAAAAAAAAAAAATCACTCTGAGGCCCCAGTAGATCCATGGAGGGAGTCACTATCATTCACCACAAGTAGTAGTTTGATGGGAAAGCCTGCACAGTGATTTGACTGGTTGTTATTGGTCAAGAGTAAAGGTATTTTCCAAAGTGTGGTTAGCACTCTTTGGAAAAGGTCCTCAAGTGGTGAAATATCTGTTATCCTATCCTCATCCTGGTTCTTTACCCTTGGTGGAATCACGCATGACCTAATGGTGGATTCCTGGATCTAAAATTCTGAAGGGGAATTCCCACTGTCAGGAAAAGCATGAACGCAGAGTGACGGTCACTTAGTAGAATGACTGCTGTTCCAGGATTGTTTGCTGTGAGTGAGGTGACTCACTGTTCCTCTTGATGTGCTGTGGGATGGGGGCTTGACGTCCTTCTGAAGATGTGTGTTTGGAGGCAAGGTCTCAAGTAGCCAGGCTGGCCTTAAACTCACCTTGTAGCTGAGGAAGACCTTGAAACGGATTCTGCCTTCACCTCCTTGAGCACTGCCATTACAGGCATATGAGTGCCATCATGCCAGGGACCCACAATGCTCAAGGTCAAGGTCACCCCAGGGCATGCTGGCCCATATATTTTTAAGATTTTTAAAACTGTGTGTGTGTTATACAGAGAGCAGAAGAGGGATCAGATCCTCTGGGGCTGGAGTTACAGGTGGTTGTGAGCTGCCTGACATGGATGCTGGGAACTGAACTCCACTCTTGCGGGGGCAGGAAGTGCTCTTCAATTGCTGAGCCATCGTTCCAACCCAACTGTATTTTTTAAAAACTAGACGTAGAATGTTGAGTTTTCAATTTAATTTTTTTTAAAGTTCCACAAAAAAATATTTGACAGAAATCTGGAGAGATGGCTCAGAGGTTAAGAGCACTGGCTGTTCTTCCAGAGGTCCTGAGTTCAATTCCCAGCAACCACATGGTAGGTCACAAAATAATTGGCCATGTTTTCCCCTCCCCCACCTCCTCCCAGAACTGCCCCACCTTCTTCCCCAGCCACTTTTATGTTTTTCTCTCTCTTTCAAAACAAAGCCCACAAAAGTGAAAACTGGAACAGACCAATAAGACAAAAAGTCCACAAAAGAGAAGGGGTCTGTCTTTTGTCAGCCAGCTACGTCATGGAACCTGCCTGGAGGTTCTCCCCATTGGCTGATCTACCCAGGAACACTCCATGGGAGGAAACTGATTTCCCACTCGCCAGCAAGAACCAAGTGCACATAGCTCCTTGGCTGAGAGCTGGAACGTTGTGTGCTCACTCGATGCTGAATTTTGTCTGGCTTGAACCCGGGTGTGTGTGTGTGTGTGTGTGTGTGTGTGTGTGTGTGTGTGTGTGTGTGTGTGTCTTTAGTCTTGAGTTCATGTGTGCATCTGTCCTGTTTCCTCTGCTTCTTACACTGTTTCTGCCTCCTCTCGCTTTGGCCATTGTCCAATTGTGGGTCTCTGTTGATTCCCATCTACCGCAGGAAGCTTCTCTGCTGTATGCTGAGTGAGGCACTGGCATATGGGTCAGTACTATGCTCCTTTAACAGAATAATAGTAGTAGGGTTTCCCCTCAGCCCATGACCTAGCTAGAGGCTCAGCTTCTTGGCCGTTTTAGCAATTTGGGCTGTGAATTCCATCTCATGGAGTGGGCCTTAAATAAAAATTTAAAAGCGGTTGTTTACTCAGCTGTTAAGAAGAATTAAGTGATGGAGGCTGGAGAGATGGCTCAGCATTTAGGAGCGCTTGCTGCTCTTCCAGAGGACAGGGGTTCAATTCTCAGCAACCACATTGCATCTCACACCTGTCTAACTCCAGTCCCAGGGATCCAGTGAGCTCTGTGTACACATGTAGTACACAGACTGTCATGCAGGAAAAACACCCATATAGGTAAAGTTTTAAAAGGAAAAGTGAATTATGAAATTTGCAGATAAATAGATGAAGCTAGGGGGGAAAAATCAGCCCAAGTGAGGTAGGCCAGACCCAGGATTCTCTTGTACGTGGATGTCAGCTTGTGAGTTTTCAGTAGGTGTGCTACCATCTGAGTGACCACAGAGGTTAGGTCCCTTTAAGGAACAGGAGGAACAAGAGGCTCTCCCAAGGAAAGGGAACTAGAACCTATCTCTATGGAGAGGTAAAGGGGAAGTAGAATGGGAGGAAAAACAGGGAGGGGTGGGAGAGAAACACAAAGGAGGAGTATGGGGAGAACAACTAACACTAAGGCCATTTGAAAAGTCACATGGGCGCACACCTATAACCCCAGGACTCGGGTGGCAGAGGCAGAGGCAGGTGGATCTCTGAGTCTGAGGCCAGCCTGGTCTACAGAGTGAGTTCCAGGGCAGCCAAGGCTACACAGAGAAACCCTGTCTCAAAAAAAAAAAAAAAAAAAAAAAAAAGAATAAAAGAAAAGCCACATGGAAACCTACTCCTGTAGAGGCTTCCTGATATCCTGATATGCCTTGATTTTCAAAAGTGTAAAAAAGTCCCCCAAGCTATGAACAATTATGAGTGTGTGTATGTGTGTGTGTGTGTATATATGTGTGTGTGTGTGTGTGTGTGTGTGTGTGTGTGTGTGTGTGTATGTGCACATGGAGAGAAAGGAAACAAAAAATTGGACAATAAGTGAAAATGTAAGAATAGTTTGGGTCCTTTGGGGCTCTAGTTATTTTTTAATACCCTTCCTTTATTCCCTCTTCCTCCTTTCACCAGGGTCTGACTGTGTAGCCCAGGCTGACTTTGAACTCAGTGCTCCTGCTTCACTGTCCTGAGTGCTGGGGTTACAGGTGTGTACTACAATGCCAGCTCTCATTAAGTATTTTCCAGATCCCAATAAAACATTAACTGAACCATTATATTATCTCTTGGCTAATAGATTTCAGTGTATTTGGAGCTTAGCAAAGGAAATGTTTGAAAAAATGTGTTAATAACCACAATTCTTTATAAGAAACAAATATTATTAACAATATTTAAAATTAAATATGAATTATTAAAATTATAATAACTTGTTAACATATTTTATTTATTTATTTGAGATGGGTTCTCATTATGTAGCCCTGACTGACCTGGAATTCACTGTGTAGACCAGACTGGTCCTCTTTCACCTTGTTTTTTGTTTTGTTTTGTTTTGGATACATGTCTCATTAAGATGCCCACAGGGTGGCCTTGACAGTGGGAGCATCTCTCCCAAGCCTCTTGAGTAGCTGAGATTACAGACCTGCACCTCCAGGAAAGTTATTTTTAAAGCCAATAAAGGGGGGAAAGAGAAAAATTAGACACCATAATTGGGGCTATCTTCACTATTTCCTTGATTAAAATGTTTTGGATGAGCTTTGAGATTCTTTCTCAAGTCCCTGACAACTAAAACTGTCCTTTCTCAACAGGCGTTGGTGGCACACGCCTTTAATCCTAGCACTCGGGAGGCAGAGGCAGGCGGAATCTGTGAGTTCGAGACCAGCCTGGTCTACAAGAGCTAGTTCCAGGACAGCCTCCAAAGCCACGGAGAAACCCTGTCTCAAAAAAACTAAATAAATAAATAAATAAATAAATAAATAAATAAATAAATAAATAGATCCTAACACCATCCTTTCTCGTCACCCGAGCCCCAGAGTTTGTCCATTAAAACTGTAGTTCAGTGCCAGAGTCAGCAAGTGTGGCCTGGAACTGTGCATTTCACATCACCAGAAGGGTGCGGGATTGTGTTCCTCTGACTTGTGGAGATAATGAGTGAAGCTCACCAACACCTTTCTGTGCTCTTGAGAAGGAACTGAAGCCCACATGCTTTGAAGGGCCGGTCATGCCAACATTTAGGAGATAGAGGCAGTAAGATAAAGGGTTCAAAATCATCCTCGGCTACATAGGGGGTTTGAGGCTAGCCTGGGCTACATGAGACCCTGTCTCAAAGATCAAAAATAAAAAAACAACCATTCCAATATACATGGTCTGCACAATAGTGGAGGTGATTAGAAAGCTTGGTGTATCGGAAGCCTGTATCCAGAAACCTTTTAAAAAGATATAAATTTGAATGAGGACCATTAATGATTTCTTCTGTTTCCCTTCTACAGATGTGGAGAGGAATTGATCAGGAAGAGTGGATCCCTAGAACATACCAAGACTTGGAAGGTCTGCCCTGCATAGTGATATTAACTGGCAAGGACCCTCTTGGAGAAACTTTCCCCAGGTAAGATGTGTATCACTGCAGGGTTCTGCGCACCACAGCGCCCCAGGTGAACTACCAAATTATTGATGAACCAGTTTCAGTTGTCTGGCAGTAATTGCTTCATGCAGGGACGAAAGAAATAGAGCCTCATTCATTCTGCCTTTCAGATTTCCAGTTCTGGAGTAGGACTGAGCTACAGGTGAACTGTGGCTTTGCCCAGAGCAAGACAGGCTGAGAGGCTGAGAGGAAAGGCAGGAAGTGATAGGTGACACACAGACAGATAGACAGAGGACAGACAGACAGACAGACAGATAGGTATTCAGATAGATTATAGATGGATGATAGATAGATAGATAGATAGATAGATAGATAGATAGATAGATAGATAGATTATAGACAGACACAGAGAGATGATAGGTAGGTGGGTCATTTAGATAAAGCTCTTTGTTAATCTGATAGTCTAAACTCCAACAAGGATCTAGGGACGGTAGATTTGAAGGCAATAGCAATGAAAGCACCAGCAGAACGTTTACCGTGTGCCAAATGCTCCCATGTGCCATGCCTCTTTCCTTGATGAGCCAGCTCTGTCTACTGAGCCTTTGACTCTGGCTTTCAGAGGTACTGGAGCTGGAATCCAGGCCCTCACACATGCTGGACAAGTTTTCTGTCATTGATCTATATCTCTCGCCCACGTCCTCTCTATTTTATACTCTGGGGACACAGAAGTAGAGCAGGAAGAAAGATGGCTAGCTGGGAGGTGAGGGAGAGATGTAAAGCAGACTTAGACAGCGCTAAAGCCTGTGGTCTTCCCTGTCCCATGGACCACAGGACCTTCAGGCATGCTTAAGTATTCTGTGTTGGAGGGACATGCCCCTAATATAGTTCCTCTGTATAGGTCTTTAAAGTATTGTGACCTACGATTAATCGATTCAAGCTACTTAACTCGCACGGCATTGGAGCAGGAGGTGGGCCTGGCATGCTGCTATGTCTCAAAAGAGGTCATCCGGGGGCCTACTGCTGCCCTCGACCTCAGTGGAAAGGAGGCGGAGAGGGCCCCCACCAGTGAGAATGACTCTGAGGAGCTGCTCATCGATTTGGAGCGACCGCAGAGCAACAGCAGCGCTGTCACAGGAACCTCAGGTCAGAACTCACCTTCAAAAGGTGGAGCTTGTCACTGATGCCCAAGGTCTTCAAGCAACGGCAGGGACCAGCTGCTGGGAAGGATGCTTGCGAAGCCAGAGAGCCGAATAGCTACAGCTTTCTCTGGGTGGAACCATGAGCTCACTAAAGGCAAAAAATTGTAACTGGTTTGCCTTATAGCTGGCACCATGCTCCTGATGCTTCTCCATCTCCTTCCAATTACCCCAGAGCTCATATTTGCATAGAGAGCTTGTTTTCAGTCTGGATGGAAGCTGTGAGCTTGTTCCTGGTACAAATGTTGGATGCGTGGCAAGATGGATGAAGGGG